CACAGCCACGCTTAAGTGAGTTTGTCTACCAAACATGAACACACCTTTCTCACTCCCTTTGCTCTACGGTTTCAAGTCTATCCAGCTGTATACAGAAATGTCCATCCATCCATCCATCCATTATCTATACACCGCTTAATCCTCGCTAGGGTCATGGGGGGCTGGAGTCTATCCCAGCTGACTCAGGGTGAAGGCAGGAGACACCCTGGACAGGTCGCCAGTCTAAGAGACAGACAACCAAGCACACTCACATTCACACCTACAGACAATTTAGAATCACCAATTGACCTCAACATGTTTTTGGACTTGTGGGAGGAAGCTGGAGAACCCAGAGAGAACCCACACTGCATGGGGACTCTACGCAGAAAGATCCTCACCGGGACGCGAATCGGCGACCTTCTTGCTACGAGGCAACGATGCTAACCACAAACCACCTTGCAGCCTGTATACAAAAATGTCCACAAGAATAAAACTTTACTGCAATAAAAATGGACACAAACTGCTTATATTATGAATGAATTTTCCCACAAGATGTTAACAGGAGCTGATGTTGTTCAATAGAGTTTATCAAATACCTGCAGCATCAGAGAGCAAAGCAAAGACAGAGTTAAATATTCAACTTTATAAATTATCTCCAACTATCAGTCTGTATCAGCATCCAACAGCAAGTCACACTGTTTCCTTTCTTCACATCAGGCAGGTGAGCTGTCACACACAGAAGTGTAGTTTAGTTTGTTGGTTCCACCTCAGTTTATACCCTTTGTTATTGCATTGCCGTGTGTTCTACAACATTTGGTGTATTGTCTGTTCTGGCAAATATGGCACGCACGCTGTCTTCGGCACGGTGGGGAGAATTTCTGAATGAAACTGTGAGGAACATTCATGGATAAGTGACCTATTACCCCAATCAGACTCTGTTCTGTTAATCTGATGGCAACTAAATAAGTCAGCTGATTGATAAAGCCAGCAATGTTACTGATCGTATGACTGTGTTCGAGGCTTCGTGTGCAACTTTTCACAACCACTGGATGTCACTGGAGCACCAGCTTTTCAGACGTAACAAACTGGTTCGTCGGCCACACCTTTCCTATTTCTTCACTTTTGTTTTCAACCAGCGAGGGTGTGCACACAAGAGTACACAAACATATATTTCACGGCTGTAGCGAGTTGCTGTCAACTTAAATAATCCTCACTTCACCTGTCTCGCCTTCTTTCCACTCTGTGTGTGTCTGTTTCCATCGGACCTGAGCCAAACTGTGGTTGCACCAGATCCGCTCATGGACAGATTGGAAGTGAAGAGGGAGCAGTAGAGTCTCTTACACTGTGCTGAAATGAAAAAAAGTGCCCAGAAATTTGTTAAATTGCAGAAAGAAAATACCTTGTTGTTCAATTCTTTGGTTTCAGAGGCACTGGCTGAATGTTGGACTGCACGTTGCTTTTCCATTGTGGTGTAGAAGTGTCACTCTTAGTCTGTTTATGCCATTACCCCACTATATCTTCTCATAGCAGATAGTTGTTTGCATATTGCACCTTTAACTTCCTCTCCTTTTCCTCAGCTGGTCTCTAAAGCTGGAGGGTTGGTGAGAGCGGGCAGCTGTGATGAAGAGTCAGGAGTGGACAACGGAGAACTATTCGACGAGTGCTCGAGTAAGCGACAGTGATAATGATCCGACAATGACAGAAACACTGAGTTCATTTTTAATTTTTTACTCATGAATTCAACAACGATGTTAACTGTCGTTTTCAGGAGGACTCCATCAACACAGGAGGTCTGAAGCGTCATCAAGGAGTGACAGCTACGCATGCAGTTTGTCAGGCAGTTCGTTGTCCTCGTCGTCAGCGCTGAGCTCCAGGCTTGCCTCGTCCTCATCTTCAGTGTCCAGGTGGAGTCATGACATGAGTAGCTTGCCAGCAAGCCTGATGAAAAAATGATACCAAGACTGGAAAAGTTATTCCTAATTAAATATGTACTTAGATGAAAAAAAAAAAAACTTCATAAATGTGACAGTGATGTTTCTAAAGCTGTCAACTGAAGTACTACAGAATTTAACCACACCAGAGTCTTTATTGTGTTCCAAACCAAACCATTTTTTCCTTCAGTGTCCGATCATGGAGGACGTCTCAGGGGCCACATCGAGTTTTCGTCCCCCACTCACCCATGGACCTGCAGCTGGGCCACCAGGTCAGGATCATGCTGCCATCTGGAAGAATCAGCACGGGAACTATCCGTTTCCTGGGTCACCTCCAGGGGGAGGCAGATCTCCACCTCGGCGTGGAGCTGCAGACTCCTGATCCAGGACTGCGTGACGGTCGCCACAAGGGACACAGCTACTTTGAATGGTAACTGATATCATTTCCCTACAAGGAAAAACAAAAGCATCGTGTAGATTATTTATGCGTCTCGGGCCGTGCAACGTGACATTAAGTGCTGTTGTGTGATTCAGTGGATCCACTGCGAGTCCCTCAGTGGTGCTTTACGGGGGGGTAATTTCGCTGCTTCTTTGAAAAGGTCATTCAAATGCTTTTGAACCCTTTTAATGGCTTGAGGTGCTGATTTACCTAAAGTTGCATTTCTTTCATTCATAAATCACAGCGGATTTACAAAGCACATTAATGCATTTTATGTTCTGGCAGTTAAGTAATGGCCTCAGCAGTCTCTCTGTTATTTAAGCACGAGTCCCACAGCATAACCTAAATACATTTAATTACATAATAGGTTATCTGTGAATGCTGGCATAACACTTCACACCTTAAGACAAACTATGCCTTCAGACATACTTCGCTAAAATCCTCTGCACTTAGTGGCTGAGCCTAATATGCAAATCTCAACACACCTTTGCAGGCTTAAGTTGTAGCACCTAAGAAATGAGGTGTGACCTTGAAATGTAAGGTGTGAACTCACATACAGCAATGACAGCTGTGACTTAGTTGTGAAAAACAACAAACACATGAATTACCCTGCATTTCAAATGTTCAACATGCCGTGTTTTGTTTTTTATTTCTCGTCTTGTCCATCTATTATGCTTTAAATTTGGACTTCTTTTCTATCTTTTTGCAGCAAACCTGGATATGGTGCCTTTGTACCATTCCACAAACTACTGATGGCCTGGGAATAACAGACAGAAATGTATCAGGTAGAATTACCCATGAACCCATGATGGATCAAATAAATGCAGAGCAGTAATTATGGATGTGATGCCTCATTATGATGAGGCAACGAAATGCACGCATAAACATATAAGATATGTTTCCTGTCTGTGAAAAGGAATACATTTAATTGTATTCACAATAAAATTAACATTTGAACAAACAGTTCCAAGGTGTCGTGTGAAGCTTGTGGGGGATTATATGCGAGAGTTACACAACATGTTTTTTTGTTAAACCAGCAAAAGGTTAGCTTTGAGTGTCAACTGTGGGTCTTAAGAAAAACCAGTTAATCACTGTAAAAAAAAATAGAAATCTTGTCTTGAGTGATGTTCAAATATTGGCCCAAAGGGACGTTCACTTGAGGCAAATATGAGTACAACTCTAGGTCGTGGCTGTATTTCATATCTGTCAAACATAGCATGTTTCAAAGGTCAGTACAAGATGAAGTCTGTTTTGCCTTGACACTGACGATTTGACCTCAATATAGTATGAAGTCATTTCCCACCGTGACAAACAGACAACCACACTGGCTTCACATTTCTCGACAAGCTGACAGAAATTAAAACATTGCACTGAACACAACACTTGAAAACTGCACGACTTAAATATTTAGATTTAGTCGACCATCACGCACCACTCATGGTGATGGTCATGCGATTTCCGGCCTTGAATACACAAATGCTGTTTTGGCTCCACTGGATCATGTGCATATTTTACATTTCTGAAATAGTCAGAACAGAAAATCAAGACCAATGCACTCCAAAAACAGCCTCTTCAAACAGACAACGAAGAATTAACGTGTTGAGTAACTAACAAAATTTCAAAAGAATAGACACTCATAACAGCATTGGCATTGGATTAGAGTGTCAAGAGAAGTGGGGCCATATGTTGTGTTGTTGGTATTTTTAGCAATTTATTTGGTGCACATGGAAGTTGTGTTGTTGTCTGATCTATTACAATAGGCCAGTAGCTCAGTGACACTAGATTTGAGCTCAATCCTCACATGATCATGCTAACATGCTCACAATGACAATGCGAACATGTTAATAGCATTAGCATTTAGCAGGTGTAATGCTGATCATGTTCACTCTCCTAGTTGAGTGTGTTAGCATTGTAACAGTTGCTAAATAGCAAATTAAAGGTCCAATGTATAAGATTTATTTTTAAAAAAGTCCGAATTGTTGTGATTGTGGTGTCACGACCCTAGAATGGGCCTTTTCTATTTACAGAAGGAGCAGGTCCTTTTCCACATGGCTGCAATGTCATCCTTCTGCAGTAGCCTAAAAAGACAAAAATAAACATCGACTCTAGAGTACGTCTTTCTTGTTTTCAGTGTGTTAATGGTCACTGTAGATCCTCCGAGATTTGGAAGGGAAGGGCGAGGTGAGGGGTATTGACAAGGGGTATTGTGCAATCTGTAGCCCCCTGAATAAATCCTACACACTGCGCATTCAACTCAAAGGTCTGCTTTAGTTGATGGAAATGTCATGTGTTAGAGGAAAAGTCAGGGGATCAGAGTAATTACGATTCCCACTCTGGGGGGCATAGACGTCTGTACAATAAGCCATGTAGTAGTTGTCAGAATTAATTTCATTTCAATCAACCAAAGCAGCGACTCATGGACAGACTGACATCCTTAGTACCAAAAAGCACTCTTTAAATTCACAGATTAGTTAAAGCATTTTGTTTTGTTTTTTTAGCTGGAACACACATAGACTTGTTCAGGCAAGCAACAAGAGTTGTTAAATTTATTTTACTTGGTGAGTAAAATGAGACTTCTTGGCTATATGTTATGCTTATGAATTCTTATCTTACAATAAACATTTACAGTAAGTGATTTACTACCAAGACACTTTTTTTTTTTACAATTCCACATTTTTATTGTCATTTCCAATCACACAGTGACCCACATACACATTCATTGTTACAGACAGAGTTCATTCGAAGAATGTTTCATGAGATGAATGATTCACAGGAAAAGGATGAGGATGCACCAGCACATTTCTTTCCCTCGTGCCAAAGTCACTCTATGAGTTTCCTCAGTTTCGTTTTCCTAGCTTGCTCTACTCGATTGACACCGGCTGAGAACATCGGGCGGCTGTTGTACAGGTTTAAATATACTGTAGCTGCACCTCACAGAGACAATACCGAACAGCAGGCTGTTCTGGAGAACTATGATGGAAATAAAAGAAGAAGTAATACTTTACACAGCAATTCCTTATTGCATGAGAACTTACAATAGATCATATTTGATGCAATATGCATCTACGGTCAAAACTCTAGAAAGTTCATCAGAACAGTTTTTGGTCTAGAGGCACTTTTCATCCAAAACACGGACGACAAGGTCACATTTGACTACAATGTCATACAAATATAGAGAACTCAACAGATTAGCTAACCTGTTCATTCATAGGAAGTCACATTTGATTTCTTGAATTGCACATTGCACAGAACACTCAAGAACATTCACCTACAGCCACTATACAATACACTCTTTGCTGTGACAAAACGCTCCAGATGCCACTGAGGTCATCACAAGTATCATGTTGATCTTGAAAGGATGGGACAGAAAAATAATCAGAACATCCCTCTCTGAGTCTTCATGTTAAGTATCTCTGCAGCCAGTTTCTCAGGATCTGTCAGATGTGGGAACATCTCCATGACTGCATCCACCTGTTGTGGGTTGAAGATGGCTTGCAGATTCTTGCGGAGCTCTAACCTTTGAGGGTCAAATGCAGCGGAAGATGGCTGCTGTTGGCCCCAGGAATGGCACTGATGACTCTTATAGAAGCCGCAACAGTTGTGAGAGTGTGAGGAATTGACTGAAGAGGGGAGACTACTGGATGTCCTGGCGAGGGGAAGCCCCTGAAAGGGATCTGACCAGTAATTCTGCTGGAGATGGGGGGCTCCGCTATAATGGAAATGGCCGGGGAGGCTGTGTTGTTGGGGCACACCAGGTGGGAACAAATGAGAAGGGTAGGTGTTATAGTGGGGTTGGCCTTTTGGGTCCATGTTTCCATGATGCTGCTGGTGAGCTGCTGAACAACACCTGCAGGACTGGCTGCTGTTATTTTTCTTTAAATGCTCTGGGGCATTTTTAGGTACGGCGAGGGCACTCGGATGCTGGGGCCTTGGTCTGTGGGAGTTGCTGAGGGAATGTGAATTATCAGAGTACTGACTCTCAAAAGAGCCAAAGCCAGAATCCTGGTACTCAGGGGGCGTGTTGGCATAGTAATTTTTTGTCATCAAGTGCAGCCCAGGCCACTCTTTCTGACACTGGCTTCCTTGCACGGAGCATGGCATATGATTTGTACCGTTTCTGAGATCGTCCCAGTACAGCAGTTCATTTTCACTGACCGGACCGGAATGTGAAGAAAACTGCTGGTCTCTTGTGAGCTCTGTGATAAACTCTCGAGGATGGACGCAGGCCTTGTGAGCAGGCCCAGGCTCAGACTGAAGCTGTCTGGGTGAATATCTGACATTTCTCTCTTCTTTCACAGAAGAAATCAGGGCTTTCTCTCTCAGTTCATCAGCTAAGGACCGATAGGACTGGTTGGCCCGCTCAGGATGGTAGAACTTGCATTTGATGCCGTAAGTGCACTTTTTGTCTGAAGGAAATAAAAAAAAGGACACAAACACAAAAGATATTCAAAACTGATCTCATTAGGGAACCACATTTATGCACAAGTCCCAGCAGTGAAAAGTCTAACAATGCATTTGCAGTATAAAAACGGGTAGTGGTGAAGTGGAACACTTCCTTATTTCAATGCTAATCATATCTCACCATAGGGACAGAGCTGTCTCTTTTGCTCCACAGGCAGCGGCTTTTTCCTAAGGAAGTTGTCGAGGCTGGGACCATGACGACCAAGAGGGTCATCTGGGGGCATGAATCTGGAAAAAAAAATGACATTACTTCATCTACTCATGACAATCTCAGCTGATGGATAATTATGTTTCCCTCAAGCTGCAATATGCCTCTCTGAATGACATTGGACAGAATTGGGACAAAGAAGTGACATCACACAGGCTCATGCAGAGCAACGGGCTCACTGCTTACTTGTCATTCACGAATGAGTACATGAGGAGTCTCTCCTCGATGCACTTCTTCCACTCAGGTCTTTCTCCTTGGAGATCGCGGTAGGTGTCATTGGATACGATCACTCCATCCGATTCATACGCCAACTTGACGATGAAGCGGTCATCGTAGCAAACCACTCGCTTTCCCCCGACACGGCGTGATGGAGTGAACACGACTATTTTACGCTTCTCGAGCTCCATCAGAATATGTTGATCTGAAAGTACAAAAAGATAGGTTTAAAGAATTGTAGTACCGTAGAAGAGTTGCCCTTTCAGTCCTTTACCAATCCATCATCATCTGCAACTGAATGTTCAAGTTACAGAAATGAAAAGCTCAAGAAAAAATCCAATAAGCACTTTACAAAGTCTCAGAGATCATTCATAGAAAACATAAGACACCATAACTATCTCTATGCACAATATATCTTTTTACTTTACAGTTAAAAACATAATGAACGCTCTGTTAGTTTGAAATGGAATGAAACGCACCATGAACTCTGTATAAACGAACAAGGGGCCAGGTCGTGTGATGTTTACCTAAATGCACTATTTAAACAAAGTGCTTTTGTTCTCAGGGTGACTGTTCACTGAACCTCTTGCTGTAGATGGTTGTTAGCAGTTAATTACATTTACCCTGCTAGTAATGTGCAGTAGGCATTGATAAAAAGAATTTAAAAAACACATGTACTTCCTGTTGGGGCTTTCCCAGAAGTGCCTGCAGACATATTTTTACTTCCTTGTTCACGGATTAAAATAAAACCTTTGGATTGCTCCACCCTTGCTGCACGGTTACTAAATCATGTGAGCCGCAAGGTGTTGATGTGTCACTTTGAAAAGGATGTCCCACCCTTTACTATAAAGCCGTGCCGGGGTTTTCAGATGTTATAAAAGCACAGCTAGTTTGAAAACAAGATAGGACTGAATAAAAGGCAGCTTTTCTACTCCAGGAAAGACAGATGTGATATTAATCTCGACTGCACAGATACACCCACGGACTACAGTGACACAGCCGGCAGAAATGTAGAGTCCTTTATTGTGCTCTGCTGTCTAAGGTTACGATACTGTACATGCCCCCAAAAACAATTAACGGCAAATCATTTTTATTGCACGTCAACCCTTGCTCGGGTAATTTGTTAGCCAGTTGAGGAAATTTTTGTTTCGCAATCCTGACTGTGTTGCTCCACACATTTGGCACGAACTCATATGTCACAGTAATGAATCACATAACATTTACAGGATTGGTCAATAGCTACAGCTAGAGAGGACCAGGTGGTGGTCGTATTCACGTTCATTTGTTTAATCTTGTGCGACAACAAGTGTTACAAGGACAAGCCCCTGTTTTACAAGGTATTACAGGATGTGTCGGCTGGGACTATTACTGGAGTATTAACGAGTTATTTCTCTAACACTGGATAAAACTTGGTAGCTATTGTAAATGCAACAATAGCCACAGGGCAGAGATAAACGTGCATTCAGCTCTGAGTGATATGACAGACCCACAAATGATTGTCATGTTTGCTACACATATTGAGGTATTGTGTAACACAAGGGCAGATACAGTATATTTATTCCTTTTCCAGTTATCAGTGAGACTTTAAAGGTCAGGAATGAATGAAAAATATATCATTCCTATTTTAACCAGGACTTTTTTTTTACTCAACCATTCTCTTGTTTTCGTGGCTAAAACTACCTACAGTCATGAGAAGCATCCATCTGCTTGGTTTGCTCTCCTTCCTGTGTTCTCACCTGTTAGGGGGGCATCGGCTCTGGGCTGCTCTTTGCGCCAACTGGGAACAAACACGGTGACGGTGTTGTGACCTCTGTCCAAGAAGAAGTTGACTGCCAGCTGTATGCCTCGACACGAGAACACTTCCTTGTTGCCGTGACTGTAAAGACATGCGAGGGAGATAACATGCATCAATTATGTAACTGTAAAATCTAAAGGAGGGAAGTAGAGTTGATTTTTGAGAACACGACTTGTCTTTGAAGGTTTTTTCCTGTAAGTGTGTGGAAGGAAACGTTCCCTCTGGCTACTACTCATGAATTACACCTCTGATCGGTTCAGGGGAGGAATTTGCATATTGTATCGGCAGCTTTTGCAAAAACATGCACAGGCAGCGAGGTGAACGCCCTCACTAAAGGTCAAGTGGCAGAGCAGTGCAGGAAGTGTGTGTTTCAGGGTCACAGTTGAAAGAAAAGACGGTGATGAGCGCTGGCAGCTTTATAACTGTTGTTTTACAGGTGTTTCACTGTTTTACAGGTAAAGCTTAAAGTAGTAAATCACCTCATAGCAACATTGCTGCCGTCGATGACAACAGGCCTCAGTTCGGGGTTCTTTCCGTCCCCCGATGGTGGTGGTGGCGTGATTCTGCTGGGCCCCAGAGCCCAGCTGGGAGGTAGCAGAGAGTCTTTTTGGCTTGTGCTTCTCTCGTCATTGTCCGGGCTGGAGGTGCTGGTTCTGCTCCTGACCAGCTCTCCGAGCACTGAGTTAGTGTCCGTGTTCAGGCCCGACTTTGTCAAAGCGGCTTTCACCTCTGCTGAGGAGTAACCCAGTTTCCTGAAGAAGTCCACTCTCAGCTGGAGCTCCTCGCCGTCTGCTTCTGAAGCTGAGCTCTGGCTGGGAGGAGCCTGATCCATCCTTTAAGCGTCCGAGGATCGTTTTAGCAACGTGGAAGGCATTTCACATCTTCGTCATGGTGATATTCTTCCAGTGACTGAGGAAAAATAATATGTGATTAGGCATCCATCCATAATTGAACCCTTAACATCCAGTTGTGTCATTTTGTTTGGATTAAGTTAAAAATCATCACATCATTCCACAACTCTCTGAACTTTTCCCACTTTCTCTTCGACGTCTGATCACGTTTACAGTGAGTAAAATATAAAGCCCCAGTAACACGTTTTACTGGTCACACCATTCACTTACACTGAAGGAATCCAGATATTTCATGTGTACTTTTATACACAATTTAACAAAAATTCAGCCTGACATATGTGGTTGTAAACTCAGGTATCTCCACTGGAATCCATGACTGTTTTTTGTAATATTTAACTGCTTCTCCAGAGATCAAACAATGCTTGTAGCGTATTCACAACAGCTCGACTGACTTTAGAGCTGCTCTAATCAACTAAAAAAAACTAACCCCAGAATTAATCAACAACTTTTGTAACTGATTAACCTTTTATGTCTTTTCTTCAGTGAAAATGTCAACATTTCCGTACTTCCTGGTGCTCCGATATGAAGAGGACTGCCTTCTTTTTTTTTCTTTTTTAGTCTTAAATTGTGGAAAATGTAATATTTCTAGACAAAAAAATGATTTCATAGATACTTAAGATACGCTGAAGGGTAATTTTCTGATGTTTTATCAACCGAATCAGCTGATAAAGGAAGTAATTTGCAGATTAAAAGAATATTAAAAAAGTGGTGCCTTCAGTTACATCACTACAGCCTGTTTTATTATTTCTATTTATCAGATATGGGGACAAACAAACATCCTGTCATTGATACTAATAGTAATTCTAATGATTAGGAATTAAAATCAAATAAAAACACCTCACCTATGAGCTATAAGAGACCTGTGCTGTCAACATACTGTAAAGTTGGGACTCTCTCAGTTAAACACAACACTAAGAAACGTATTTTGTAGGAATAAACACACAACTTAAACACAGTGTCTCTGCTTTCCGAGCCGCCCTGACAGTGTGGCTTCTACCTGATACAGGTAACAAGTAGGTCAGCGACGGGACGCTTCAGATAACGTTACAGCCTCGTCAACAAAATGCCACCGAGCAAGAGAAGGAGCAGAACTTACCTTCTCCGCTTCTTCTCTCTTCGTCTCCGTGTTCCATCTGGGAGAAGAAGTCACTTATGAAGTCCTGCTGAAGTTTCAAAGTACAGTAAGTTTGCCTGGACCTCGAAGCTCCGCCCACCTGGAGAATCATTTCTTCCTCTCTTGCTTTCAGACGAAGGCACGCGGAGCCCAGCGGGACATTTGCATATAGGTGAGATAAGACGAGGCGTTTCTTTAGCTTCCAGCTGTCACTCACTCACTGTAGTGGTCCATACCGGTTCTTATTTTCATTTTTAAAATGCTTTTTGTTGTTGCTGCGGTCTATTTTTATTTTTATTTTATTTTGTAAAAACAGAAATTGCTTACAATAAACGTACAGCATTGTAATAGCGTCTAAAAATAAAATGGATATATTATTTTTTTTATATTAAAAAACAGCGAATCTCGACAAAATCTAGTTTAAAATGACCGACTAATTAATTACATTTTTTTTTTGTATTTATAAGATGTATTTGAATATTACTTTGTTGAGCAGCCTTGCCATTGTGGATCCACGTGCTTTTTTTTTTTTTTAATCTGATAAAGACAAAAATGCATTTGATGTTTCAATGGCAACATTCTACGATGTAATCTCACCTCCTACACGTGTTGACTATCAATGGACATGTCTGCCAAAGGTTGATTTCCTGATAAAAACACATTTTTTCCCCCCTAACGTGTCAAGGCGCCCCCTTGTGGTTTGGGTTGCAACAGCAAATGCAAAAATAACAAAAACACAACCAACCTGTACTATTTTTTTGGTGAAGAGTGAGTTAATGAAGCAAATACCACAAAAAAAGTAAAAACAAACAAACAAGCAAAAAAAAAATATATTCTAGCTTGTTTGCTAGCAGAGCAAAACACAGCTTCTAATTTCAAAAAGACTAGCATTCAGATAAAAAAGTAAATAATAAGTCGGCATTTATTTTTTTAAAATGTGGAAATGATGACAACATTTTTATTTGTCGCTCATTTTTTAAGGCAGTGGTGGAAAAATAACTCATTACATGTGCTCAGGCGTTTTATTCTACAATTTGAGATACTTGTACGTTGAATATTAGCATTTTTAATTTGTTGATATGTCATCGCCAGTACATTTTACTGCGCAAATAAATATTTGACATACCTTTATTAATCACATAACAGTTAAAATAGTCTTCTTTTAATGAGCAAACGCATTAAAAACTATTTAATAAATCCAAAAATTATGTATATTGTGCTTTAACAAAATTATGCTTGAAGACTGGAGTACTTCATCCATCATAGATTCACAAGCATTTAAAGCATTCTTACAATAGTATGATTAAAATGGCTTTTACTTGACTTAAATTCACTGCATGTAAATATCCAACAGGAGCAAGCAGACCCCTGTGTAATGATTAAAAATTGTGCCACCTTACAGTATTTGTGTTACTTCTAAGTAGAACAGTAGGATATTTGCTCTTGTGTATTTTTTTAAATGCAAAAACAGTTTAGATTTCATATTTTCAAAATAAAGGCCCCACAGTCAGAACTGTCTAAGATTTGAATATTTTATTTTGTAAGTACCTCATGTGTCCACCTTTAGTTTTGATGAGAGACTCATATCTCCACATGGAGGATACTAAATCTCTGGAGAGATGTTCTCAGGTTCTTAAGAGACATTTTTTTTGCTGCTCTTTGCTGGAGAGGTTGTGTAACTCCACATTTCTCTTTAAAATTTCCTGAAGGTGGACTCTTGGATACAAGTCAGGCAACATACTTGGCCAGGTCTTTTCAGTTTAGTTTTTTTTTCATTTTTTTCCCCCTTTAAAGACTCTTCTGTGATTTTGGCAGTGCGCCTTGGAATGTTATGCTGGACTGTTCCTCATCTGCCAAGTTTCTGGAGACTGGAAGTCATCTTGTCAGCCGTTATTTTGGCATTCATGGTGTCACCAGTAAATGTCATGTTCCCAACACCTTTTGTGCACATGCAGCCCCATGTTATCACACTCTCACGCCTGCGCCTCGACGCATTCGCTGTAGTCGTCCTGGTCAGATTCACGCCAAACATTCTGGACCCAGTCTGACCCAAACAGATGAATCTTGGTCTCATGTGAACAAAGAACGCACTCTGAATATTCATTAGGCTTCTTTTCATGTTCTGGAGCAAAAGTTGTAGTTTTACATCAGAAGCAAGGGCTCAGGGCTAAGATTTTTCAGTTCTCGGACAGTTCTTTTCTGTATGGAGCCATGATGCAGACAATAACTGACACGGCCCATAGATCTTAAACTGACAGAGTGTTTATTCTGGTGTTTGCAGCTCCCACATTCATGCAATTGGGCACATTCAAGGTAAAACATGTGCGAAGGTGATCCCAGGTATATTTCTTTCTTATGCTAGTTTCTACTTTAGGCTCTACCTTTTCAATATAGATGCAGTTTCAGCCAAAAGACCAGGATTTATGAGAAACCATGTTGAGATAGTGGCGGCTCAGCGGTCAAGGCTTTGGTTACTGATAAGAAGGTCAAGGGTTCAAGTCAAGGTGCTGCTGTTAGGCTCATGAGCAAGGCCCTTGAGCCAATTTGCTTCAGGGGGTATAACCATAGTGGGGCTGACCCCAGCTTCCTAACAAGCTGGGATATGTGGAAATCTGTTTCCCTTGTGGGATCAATAAAGTGTAATCGAGTATAAGAAAACACAGCTTAGGTGGAGTTACGTCAGTTTAAATATGATGCTATGACTGGAAGGTGATGCAATTTCAATGATATTAAGCAAAGAGGTGTGCTCACTTCTGTTGTATTCTGCAAAATCTAAATTAGCCCCCAAAACCAGGAAGCACATTTAATATCTTTTTGCAGCAACACCTACATTTAATGCAGTATCGCTGGTTAACAGTTGAGAGAAAATTGCTTTGTCAGTTTGATGCTTTACAACCTAATTGCTAATTTTATAAGAACTTCCTGATTGCACAACTTCTGCCATCTCCTCTTGAGAGTCACTGTGTGCTCCTGTAACGCTGCCTGCCGCCATTACAATTGCCATGGCAGAGCTCATATCTTTTTCTGTTTCATCACTGGCCCACTAGATGTCCCTCTTGCTTCACGTTATTCCACGGCGGCGGCGGCTCTGCTCTCACAGGGGGGGAGATTATGAGGAAATGTTGGTCTGCAGGTGGTTGCGGCTTTAGTAGACTGGTGGTTAAATTGTGAAGTTTTGTGTAGCGTGTTTGTGTGTGTGTGTGTGTGTGTGTTCGTAAACAAGCCTTTGTGTACAGGGTTAATGGCATGGTCGAGTTGGGATCACACCGCGTGGAGCTGGTTAATGGCATATACAGAGTTGAGTTCCGGAGAGTGGAGAAAGTAATCAGGGCCAGTTGCCAAGCAGTTGCCTCCTCTGAGGGCCCACACCACTGGTCCCAGGTGTCTGCAAGTCCTGATATTACTGCAGGGCAATGAGCTGCAGCCAGCAACCATGAGTTGGGGCATACAGGAGCACACACACCACACACACACACAGATAGATGTGTTTCCATCACTTCAGAGGACACTGCATTAACTTACTTTCCTTGAGACTTACTACAACCCTAACCATCGCTACTATTTGACTAATAGTGGCTCTTTCCTTACACTAAGTGGATTCCATCATGCCGACTTGTGGTTGATGCCCCCCCCCACGACGTCAGTAATACAAATAAACCCACACACACACATTCCAGGTCAGAATAAAAGACGGAAATACCCACAAAGCACCTGAACACATACATTTACAGTAATGGATTATCTATTACTTCACGTGGGAGAGTTTCCAAGAGCGTTATGAAGAAACATCTGCCGACACTTGGCAAGGAGAACAGTTATATAGCATTCCGTTGAATCCAATCTGTAAAAGCACCATCTAGACTACGGTAGACTGCGATTGAGTGCATTGTTTTGTAATTTATGACTAGATTACATTGGAAGGCAACATTGGCACCCATAAAACTATTGTTCAGCAATGCAAATCGCGAACCTTGCCGAGAATCCAAGTGCCCGAGATTGGATGAGCTCTGTGCAGATTGGGTGTTGTGAACATCACACGCTTATTTCCTTAACATCTTGGGGGAGGCATTGCCCTGCTCAAAGGCATATCTTTTTCCTCCAGGCAGGTGTAGTTTGGCAAGGCTTGTTAAACCTGAGACAGTTGATCAAATATTCAGCCAGGCTCATTGTGCTGCTGAGAGCTTTTGGATGTGGTTGGGATAGCGGCGTGCTGATAAAAAAAAAAAAAAACCTCCAGCTTTGTAGTGCTTCAGTGCTGGCCTCCCTTTGCTATTCCTTTCACTGACTGCCCGGGTCAGCCATCTGTCAGAAAAATTAATTTTTGTATGATTTTTTTAAAAAGATCCAAAGTAAAGAAAAGGCAGCCTTTAACTGAAGTAATCAATCTTCCGCCAATAGTGTCAGAGTGATTCACGATTTCCAATTTAGCCATGGGTTGAATCTAAAGTAAATCAGGCAGGACAGCTCTACTCTTTGTGCAGCCGGACGACAAACCCTCAGTGACAAGAGCTTTCAAATGAACATATCCCCCACATTCATCTTGTTCATTTATTACCTCAGACACCCTACCGCTTGTCCTACATAGATCAGCAAGCAAAGACCTCTTGGCATTGTGTGTGAGCATAGATAGAGGAGCTGGAGGCAGCAACACCGGCTAGGTGGCTACAGTATTGATAGGAGGTTGGACAAAAGAGCAGCACAATGGAGAGGGGCCAGGTTTTTGGGTCTGTGTTTAATTAGATTTACTTTGATTAGTGACAACTGAATTCCCCGAGCTGGATGTTTGCAGAGAATTGCAATGTAGCTACTCACTCAGTTTGATGTTGATAGACACTTTCCCCACTAAGGAACCTTTTGTATTTCTCTCCGTATCATGTACACTGATTTTTGGTTCCACTTAGTTTGAGCAGTTAGTTACCAAGTGTATTTATTGTCTCTTTAACATGTTGTGTTTCCTATAGTCCAAATTCAGCCTTCCTGTCTGGCCATACTATCAAACCTAACGAAGGCAGCCTAATGAGATATGCTTAAATTATTGTCAATATTCTGGTGTTACCA